GGTGCGCCATGCCTGTTTTTAAAAATGACCTGATCAACATTACTCAAGGTCAATAAGCTTTTTCTAACAGCGTCTTCCATCTCATTGTTTCCCTCCATTCCCTTTTTTTCCCCTGCATCACCAGCTTCTGTTCTGATTACTGACAACTGCAGCATATCATCCTCTGCAGTCTGAGAGGACGCCTTAGAGTGAACCATTTAATTCCTCTTGTGGTGGCATCAGGATAGATTAACTAGTAGGAGTTCACCTTTAATCAAATTCACTTCTCAAGCACATTTTTACCGTTTTTTTTTTTTTGTTTTTGTTTTTAATTCTGTGAGGCACCCCATCCCCTATTCCCCGAGGTAATAATGTGTATTTTTAGTAGAAAGTGAGTCTAACTATTGCTCTCAGAATAGGCTCATGATGGACATAACTTAATGAGATACCAGCCTAGTTGTGAGGTTGAGTATTTTTTCCCAGACAGTGTGTGCGCTGGTCTCCAGCTTAGACCCAGTAGGATTCCAATTTATCCAGCACAGCTTGATGTCATTGTTCGATCAGCTTCGTGACAAATGCGTCAAGGCTGAGTGACTCTGCCCTTCATCAAGATATACAGGAATAAAGTTGCCGCACACCCAGGGTTCTAGGTATGCCATGAATAGTGATTCTGTAGATAAACAAGCAGGTTCTGGTAATTCCAGTCACAACCAGCCTAGCTGGAATATAGCATTCTAAAGGAGAGATGGCAGAATAAGGTAAGGCAGAGAAAGAAGAAGTGCAGCTGCAAAATCACCTCTGTGGCCCTGATTTGTCTTCCAACCCATCTCTGTGGCTCCCTCAGGAGAATCTTGTGCCGCAGTCTCTACCCTGGCGTTTGTTCTTTCTTTGCTCTCCTTTTCTCCGTCTCTTCCTTTACCTCCCTTTATCCTCCCTTTCCTTTTATCCATTCTCCTACTCTGCTTGTATTCACGTTGTCCTGATGCATGCAGTGTTGAAAATGTGTGATTTTAGTGCATATGTGTTCCAAAGTTGGAGAAGATGGAATATTTAAAAACTGCCCATTAAGACTGAGGTGGGGGGGGGGTTCCTTTTTTGGGGGGAGGGTTGGGAGAGGGGGAGATATTTGTTCAGTTCTTAATATGAAAGGTTTGCTAATTAGATTTTGAGAAAAAGGTGCAAGAAAGTACTGATTTTCAATTACTTCCAATATGAATCATTAGTCATCCAATTTGCTAATATTGGATTAGGTAGCAGCGTAATGCTGGTGTGAAAAATGAATACCTCCAGAGGCTTCCCCTGAAAGGGCACTCTCATCAGCCAGTGCAGTTGTGAGCTTTTTCCTCCATGTGGTGCATTACAGGAGTGAATGGAATCTTAAAATGGTAAGAAAACAAAAGCAAAGACTAGCTGTTCATGATTTGTCGTGTGCTCGCTTTACCACCAGTCGGCATAAGCTGTCGGATTCATTGTATATTTTCATTTGCTGTGTTCACAGCACATAACTAATTTCCAGTTTCTCCATTCTGAAATGAAGAGCAGATTGAGCTTATCAGTGTGACCCAGATAAATGGCGCACAAGTGTTGCAGAGGTTGGTCTTGTTTAATTCCAGTGAGTCATGGCCACTAAGAAAAATTCAGACATTATAAAGAAATAGATCAGGCTCAAAAGATGTCTGGCTCCCCTGAGAGTTCACAGATAGCTGAGGAGAATCCTGTTAAGATCCTGGCAAATGACACTTTGAGCTAGCCTTGAGGAATGTGCTGCTCCAAAATAAGCAACGTCTTTCTTAGCACTGATCGAGGATACTTGAATTAGTGGCGATACAGCATAATGACCCTCACTCCAGGGGACTGAAAAGTACTTTGACTGTGATGCTAACCTGTCCTAATAGATCTCATTGCAAGGAATCCTTTCAAGCATGCAACTCAGATGAATGGAGTTCAGTGCAAACTTTGCTTAAGGGAAGCAACACTCCAGCAGTCGGGTATGTTGTTCTGTCATCTTAGTTTGCTGTTATGTAAAGCGAAGAGAGTGTTCTTAAGGAGTTTGCCTTTGTTTGACTCGGGGGCAAATAACCTCTAACACTAATGATAATATTACTGCAAGACTACAAAAGAAATGGTGCAAGCAAGAATGCAATCTCCTCATCTGTGTACCCGAACTCCTACTGTTTGATCATAGTTCTGACTCGGCGACCGAATCTCTGACTGAATTCGAAAACTGTTTGTTACACCTGCCTGTCTCAGATAAAAACTCAAAATGTAGACTTTTCAAATTATGTGGCGTCTGTATTTGTTATATATTCATTTACTGCATAAAAAACAAGCACACGTTTCTTCAGTGACTGAAGTCTTCTCAAAGCTTTCTTAATTTATTAAGAATATAATAAATGAATAAATCTTCTAAAACGAGTTCATGTTTGAAACCCAAGAATGCTATTGCGCAATAAAGACAAAATTTTGTGTAACTGCTCAGTGTGTTTTTCTGCTTGTTTTCCACATTTTTGACATATCTTAACTGTGCCATTTTCATTCCAACTTAATTTCACTTTCCACTGAGGATCTACGTTACAGAATCACTACAGCTTTCTAGGATCCTCCTGCTGCGTGTGCTTTAGGCATGTGTCACAACAGTGGTTACTTTGTTAATTATTTAGTCCATTATTTCTTACACAGAGAGAGGAGATGGTTCAGGGATAAACCATTAATCACAATTTACCTCTCTTCCACTGAGATGGGTGAGTTAAATTATCTACATACAATAGAGATCCTCAGGTTTAGTAGCCCTGACCTCTGCAGAACTGTCAGACTTCTCTTATTTACTTTGCTTTTAGTAAGTCTAAATCATTTCCTGAACAAATGTTTAAGTTTACTATTTTTTCTGTTTAAATTCAGTAGTAGGAAACGTTAGTCTTCTAGTATGAACCTTCCAGATCTCTCAGGTCATCTGGATCCGTTTTTTTATCAGTTCCCAGAGTCAGAACCAGACACGGAGA